AAGGATCTGGCACTGGCTGGCAACAGACCCTCTCCTGCCTCCCAGTGCTATTTAACTTGATGGCATATGGCGTGGTAAGAGAATGTTTTCAGGAATGTAACATGCCATACACTGAAGTTGGACTGGCTATCTATGGAGTCATCATTGATTAGGAAATGTCCTTCAGATTTAACTTTTACTTATCCCACTGACCAACTGACCTCTTAAGAAATCCCCATTGCTGGCTTTCAAGTTCAACCAAGTCAATATTTCTCAATAAGTGTCTCATTGTGGTCTCCTGAACTTCTTTCATGGCATTCTTCCCTATCTGCTGGCCCTCCAAGCTCCCTCCACCATTCTTTCTTTATAATTCACCTTCCCCAAGAAGGCTTCTCTGCTTCCTTGTCTTCCCACCAAGGTTTATCTTGCTGTGATGTGCACAGTACTTATGTTCAATCCTTTCTTCCTATTAGAAAAGATTCACTTATTGCCTGGCTGTTTCTTATATCCCCAAAGGGCAGGATCAATTGTTTCTATTTACTTTTTTTTTTTTTTAAGGTGTCTAAGACAATGCTGTGCTCCAAAAAGCACCAAATAGTTGTTAAACAAATCATGTTAATTAACTTAGCTACAAAAGGGAGATCTCATAACTGGTAGCAAATGAAATTAAAATCACTTTCTTCTGTTAGGTTATTCTGAATTCTCAAAGATTAATGACTCACAAGCATATGAATCTGATAGTCTATCAAAAAAGTAGTTCAGGGGCACCTGGGTGGCTCAGTAGGTTAAGTGTCTGACTCCTGATTTCAGCTCAGGTCATGGTTTTAATTTTTTTTTTTTTATAGTTTATTTATTTTTGAGACAGAGAGAGACAGAGCACGAGTGAGTGAGGAGCAGAGAGAGAGGGAGACACAGAATCTGAAACAGCCTCCAGGCTCTGAGCTGTCAGCCCAGAGCCTGACACGGGGCTCGAACCCACCAACGTGAGATCATGACCTGGGCCGAAGTCAGATGCTTAACCAACTGAGCCACCCAGGCACCCCAGCTCAGGTCATGATCTTGTAGTTCATGGGATCGAGCTCCGAGGGCACAGAGGCTGCTTGGGATTCTCTCTCCCTCTCTCTCTGCCCCTCCCCTGCTAGCATTCTCTCTCTCAAAATAAACTTAAAAAAAAATAGCTCAGTGGTTGATACTGTATCAAAATATTAGTCCAGTGGTTCTCAACCCTGGCTGCTCACTCAAATCAACTTAGAAGCTTTTAAAATTACCACTACCCAGGCCTCTCCACAGATAAAGTGAATCAGAATCTTTGCAGGTATGCAATGATTTGCATATGCCATACTGGTATTTGATTTGCACATATTGATTCATACAACCTCACTCTTATGAATAGATTGTTCTAAAGAATGAGCATGATCAAATAATGGTTTTGTTGTTGTTCATAGAATCACAAAAGTTTAGAACTGAGAAAGAACTAAGATAATAAATATCTGGATCAACCCCTTTATTTTACAGCTGAAGGCTCTGTGGCTTAAGAGAGATTGAGTAGCCTGATACAGTGGTGAGGTGATTGTTGAGTGACCGGTCATATCCTGAATTAGTGGAATTCTCTGAACTCCAGTTCTGGAGCTGTAGCAAGTAGACCAAACTGTTCAGTTTTTAAATTTCTTTCTCCTAAAGAAAATGTGCAACAAATAATATCTGTGTGTGCATGTAAGATTTGGATTCTAAAAGCTGTTAGCACCGGGTACTACTTAAAGACCAATTTGGCACATTCCATCTAGCCCTTTTTCATGGCAGAAGAAATGCCACAGTGGGATATATCAAAGTCCAAAACAAATGACTAGTGTATATTTGCAGGCTTTTTCATTGGCCCTAATCCATAACATTTTATGCTATCAGAGTCCAGAGCACTTCTGGCCCTTAACTAAACCACTTATTAGCAGACTTACTGCTTATGAGTAAGCTAATCAACACCCTGAACTTCCCTTTTCTCTATAAAAAGGAAGATAGTGCCTGTCCTATTGACCTTGCATTTTTCAGCTATTATAAGGATTAAATCAGATGATCTATGTACGGATGTCTTGAGAATAGTAAAGCACTGTGTATATATCTATATAGAATTATTATTCTGTTATTTTTCAGAGCAATGACTTGTGAGTAAGTATGTGTTACTATCATTACCCAGGCTCTAAATCCTAATTCCTTGGTACCATGCCACCCAACAATCAACAGGAACTGGGCTTAGCGCTGGGCTGGAGACTCTCACTGAAAGTACCCCGTAACTAAATATTCAGGGAGGTAAAGTGATGTAGTGACCCAGGGTTTAGCTAGTCTAGGCTCTAGTCCCAGAGTCTGCTTTGAACTATTGACTTTGGACAAGTCACTTAATTTTTCTGGGACCAGAGTCTCGTCAGTGGTCAAAGGATGACTTGAATTAGAGTCAAAGATCCTTTTGATTTATAAAATCAGAATATTAGTTCTTAATTAAAACTACTAAAGTGCAGTTTCCCAAGCTGTTAATTGATGTGGTTTCACATTTTTAAAATCTCTTTTTAGAAGGACAGGGTTGGAGCCTAAAAACAGAAGCCTATTTCTGGTAAACAGACATTTCGAACACATGTGTAAAACCCTTGTTAAAAGAAACATCTCTACTCAGATACCTTATGCTTGTTAGTATCCTGTCCTGATGCCCTTGCTCCAAAAATAAATATATGGTTACCCAAAAGGCATGTAATACACTACTGGACACAGAGTAGGTACCCAAATACTGTTACTTTACAGTTCTCAGTAGAGACCTAGCTCTCATTACTTAACTCATCTGAGCCCGTTTTCTTATTTATAAATGGGAAAATAGTACCTTCCTCAATGATCCACTGAGATAGTGTATATTAAAATGAAGAAAAATGTGAGGTGCCTAAGTGGCTCAGTTGGTTCAGAGCCAACTCTTGATTTTGGCTCAGGTCATGACCCCAGGGTCATGGGATTGAGCCCTGTGTCGGGCTCTGCACTGAGCATTGAGTCTGTTTGGATTCTCTCTCCTTCTCTTTTCTTATGCCCCTCTCCTCCACTCATGCCCTCTCTAAAAAATAAATGTTTTATAAACTGTTAAAAACAATTGCAAGATATTACTATTACCTAAGAAATGTAGACTAAGTGTACTTTTTCAAGAGATAGATTAAAATCTTTCTGGACACAGCACCTTCCCCAGTGCCTGGCTCAACAAATATGCTCAATGAATGTCTGCTGCATGAAAAGCATAATCCGCAGAAGACCCCAAAGCTCCATGAGCTTAGATTCCATATTTCTTTTTCTCTCCCAGAGCTAACACAGCATCTGACAGATGGAAGAACACAATAACTATCAGATGAAAAATTGTTATCCTCTCCAGTTCCCCTTCAGCACAGTAGACATGGGCAGAAGAGGCATCAAAGATGATTTCTGATACAGGCTGCTTGGACTGGAACTGGAAGTTATTTGGAAAATTCACCCACTCTCTAATAGCTTGGGAAAGCAAAAAAAGCAGCATAGACTCTTGAGTTCAAGTGCAGTTTCCAGATTGTTCAATCTTGGTAAATTAATCTATTAACCCCTCCGAGACTGTTTCCTGATCTTAAAAATGAGAATAGTACCAGCCCCATAGAGTTAAGCACTAGAATGGAAACTCTGTTAAGAGCAAGGACTTTGAGGCCCACTGTCTCTACACTGAACAGTACTGAGCTGTACCGAACAGTGCCAGACACAGCACAGGTTCTCAAATACTCATTCACTGACGTTGTGCGACTGGAGACGACACAGATAAAGTACGTAACAGAATGCTTGCACGTAGTAAACACTCAGCAAACGTGGACCTCTTCCATCTTCACTATCCCCATCACCACTACCATTACTAGTATATCAGCATTACGGGGCTGCTGGTTGGAGAGTAGCCACCTTTGGAGAAAGACCTGGATTCCAATCTAGTCTAATTCCCCATTTACCAGTTTTGTGACATAGGCCAGTATTACTTAACCTATGTTGGTTCCTTTGGTTCCAGAAAAATCTCCGCGTCGTGAGAATCAGACGCTATATGGCAACGACCTAACGCCGAATCGGGAGCCCCCGCGGCACGCGATACGTGGCAGCAACTATTAGGCAAACAAAAACAAAAACAAAAACAAAAAAAAGCAAAAATCCCTTTTCCGGATAACTGCCTGCAATTTCCCACATTACTGTAGCTGAATACATAACATTACCGCAAACAAGGGGGAGGAAGGAAAACATTTCAAAGAGACCGAAGCCGCCTAACAAGAAAAAGAGGGAATTAAACCGGTGTTTGACAGTTCCCACCAAGGGGTGCCAGTTTCCGCGACTGTCAACCTGTCCGACCAGCCAAGGCTGGAGCAGGACAACCAGCTCTGATAGGAACAGAATAGAGGCAGAGCAGACGCTTACACCCTCCCCCTAACGGTCTCTTGGCCGGCAGCCGCCGGCCTCTGGCTGCCGCGGGACTCCCGTTTCCGGCCTTGGCCGGACCACAGCTCCCAGCATGCCTTTGGCGGGAAGTCTTTTCCCGGGGGATGACTACTAATCCCGGCATGCCATTCGGCACTCCAGTAAATTAGATGGAAGAGTGGAATGACCCCAATGAGCGCAGGGAATTGTAGTCTGTGTAGCTGCGGGCTCTCGGAGGGGCGGGGAAGAGCCGGGGGGCTCTTGTCAGCTGAGGAGAATGATTCATAGAGGAGGGTCAGGAGAGAAGAGCAGTTCAGTCTGCGAAAGCCCACTTAAAAGGCTGAACTCTTCTGCGAGGGAGGGTGAGGCAGGAGAGTAAGCGAGGCCCCGGGCCTGACGCCGCCTCAGGCCGCTCGTCAGGCCTCCATCGAGTCCCGGGCCTGGTCGGGAGCGGCCGCGAGGCGCCGGTTGCTGGGGGACCGGTGACGTCGCGGGGTGAAAGTTGAGGGGCGGTGACGTCGGCCCTGCCCGGGCGGAGGCTGGCGGGTTGGAGGCAGGAGGGAGGGAGGGAAGGAGGGAAGGAAGGAAGCTGGGAACGAGCGAGCGAGCGGGGGCGCGAGGCGTTTACCTGGAGGCAGCGGCTTGGGCGCGCAGAGCGGCCGCGGCTCCCCCGCACCTGCGGCCATGGATGAGGAGCGCGCCCTCTACATCGTCCGGGCCGGCGAGGCGGGGGCTATCGAGCGGGTCCTGAGGGATTACAGCGATAAGGTAAAGCGCCCTGGCCCCGGGCGTGCGGTAGAGCACCGCCGGGCCGCCCTCGGGGCTTGCACATCGCATCCCTCCCAACCCCCCTCATTCCGGGGATGCGCGCTGCTCTCCCCAGAAAGCGTTTCCGGCTTGGGCATGCGTGTTTGTGCCCCCAGCCTTTCCCGTGCGTGCATCCTGCATCCCCCTGCCCCCACTCTGGCGCCCACTCCTCTGATTCCGGCCCAGCAGACTGTCCTACGGTCCTCCTCCCAAGCGTGCAAGTCACACCCCCACAATCCGTAGATGTGCGTCTGTGCCCTGTGCCCCACTCTTGGATGCATAAATGCACGCGAGGCTTCCTCACCTGTATAGCATGAAAATCCGAGTTTCCGTGCTTAAACACGGCTCTTGATACGCGTAAAACCCATCAGCCACGATGGCAGTTCTTTATATACCTATAGCACTCTACAGTTTTCAAAGCTTGAGGTCTCCTGTATGGTTTAACTTGATTCTCAGAGTGTTTGTAGGGTAGATGGTGTCATCTTCCCCATTTTATAGATGAGAAAACCGAGGGGCTAAGAACTGAAATCACGCCAAGGTCATGGACATACTATGCTGTACGTGGAGGGAGAGGGGAGATTCTGACTCCTCGTAATACCTGATTATTTGTAGCGCATTAACAGCTTTCCCGTCCATTATCTCATTTAATTTTGACAACAGTCCTATGAGGTTTTATCTTCCTTTTGCAACTGAGATTCTGTATCAGTTAAGTAACTTGCCCAAGGTCATACTTGTGAGCTGGGATTCCAACCTAGGTCTTCAAACCATTCACTGTTCTTTCCACTTTACAACTCTGCAGTAAAAAGGCATCTTGTTATAAATCCCAGCCACCTCTCTGAATGTTTCTCCAGGAACCGTTAGCTCGCCATTGCTTTTTCTTACCTGCTCCCTTCAAAAGATAGCATACCACACCTTTATTCTTCCATTTAGAAGACTACTTTATAGGGATGTCTGACTGCTCCTGTCTGTGAAAACAGCCTCAACACCCAGTCTCACCCCGGATACAGCATCGTCCTTCCTTTGACTTGCTTGTACTCAATAGTCTCCCCTGCTGTGTGTGCTGTGTGCCCACCACTGCGCTGTATTACCCTGTGCACGATGGACCTGCCAGTGGGCAGTTTCTGCCCTGCGTAGAGAAGATCCAAAAACAAGACACCTCCATCCCCATTTAATTGTCCCAACAACCCCGTGAGGAAAGTGGTGGTATTCCCCATGTCACAGATGACATTTAGGATCATGTTGCCACTGAGAGAGGGGGCTGGGGTTTGAATCCTGGCTTTCCAGTTGCTCTTTCTACAGTACTGTGCTACTTTCTTTGGGAGGGTGTATGGGTGGATTCAATTCTGTTCATATTTTAGCTCCTTCACTTTCTAATATGCTTTATTGTTGCATATCCGCCTAATTTAGGAGAAATTCATTTGATACACGGGTGTACATATTGTGGAGATTATATTCATTTAATTTGATTTGCACCTTCTTTCAAAAAAATATGTGAGGCAAGCTACAAACTAATGTTCAAAAGTAAGAAACAGTGTTGAATCAAGTAGTATTTATTTTGCAATTACTATATGCCAGATATCCAGCAATAAATAGGAACTTTCTTCTTTAGGGACAGGAGGAGGAAAAACCTCTAACAGATCTTACCACCTTCTTCAATATTCTTCCTCCCCTTTGTGACTAAACTGGTTAGAACTCCAGATTTGCTTCCTTGACTCTATCTCTTCCTCTCCTTGATCTCCCTCCGGGTTGGTTTCCACATAACCACTCCTGGCCAAGTGCTATCAGAGCTTAAGTCCTGGACATCTCCAGCTCCCGTTTCACATGGGAATGTTTTTAAAGTTGTAATGCCCAATGTATATTATTTAAGATGCTATTCCTGAAGTTCTTTTTGGGCCAAGCCTCAGAATGCTCTGACTTGATGCAAACCGGATCGGTCCGCTCCTTCAGAAAAGAGCTCTCATGTTTAACATTGATTATAGTAGGGCTAGTGTACAGAGAAAATAGCTGAGGTTCATGCTGGCAGTGAGGCTTTGCCCCTCAAGGCAAGAGAGACCTTGGAGGCAGATGAATAGGAAGGGAAGGTCTGATTGCAGTGGTCTGGCACTAAGAATGGGGAGGTGGAATTAAATTGCCTAGCTCTATGGGATATGAAGTCTGAGACCCTGAAAAAGTAGCTGAGCACTGTGCACTTCATTTTCTTTATCTGGAAAAATGGATTTGAGAAATGTTTCGAATGAGGGGTGATTGTGGGGCACTGAGGAGTCTAACCAAGAACAGAAATGAATGAGGTACAGAGAAAGTGATTGGGTCATTATTTGGGGGAGGAGGTTCTTTATTATACCTTATTTCTCTAATAAAGCTAGAACTTGAGACAGTTCTAGAAATATAGCATACACATTTGAGTAGGATATGTCAGTGTCTTGGACCATGTAAGAGGACTTTTTGCTTTCCATTTTGAGGTTGAGTTCTGACTCTGAGTTCATTCCACAGATTTTTGCAGAGGAGCATGTTTAATGGGCTGTTCCCTCAAGATAGTAGAAAGAAGGTAGAATTTAGAGTCAGATAAATCTTGGTTCAAATCTGCCTGTTATTGGCTTCATGACAATGGATAAGTTATTTAAAGCCTGGGTCATGGCTTCCTTATCTGTAAAATAGGGATAATATTACCTAACTTATTATGTAGCTTTAATTAAGTTTAATGCTGAACACTGAGCACAGGGCACGTAGGAAGTGTTTACTCAGAGTTATAGGTCTAATGATCCAGGTACTCAAGTGGTCTTGTGGCTGTAGCACAGGCTCTGGAGCCACACCCTGGCTCTGATCTTCAACTTAACCATCCATGTGGCCTAGGACAAGTTAACTTAACTTTGCTGTGCCTCAATTTCCTCACCTGTCAAACAGGGACAATAATAGTACCTACATCATAGGTTTGTTAGGATTAAATGAGTTATATGTCTAAAGCCCTTGAAACAGTGCCTGGCACTGAAGAAGAACCCATAACTGTTAGTTTAGAACAAAAAAGGCAGGAATTAAACATGTAGCACTGAGTTGATTTAGCCTGGTAAAAATAATTGGGGAGTATATTCCATTACTTCTTGTTTTCCTTGACCCTTACATTTTCTAATGGGCAGCGCAATACCAGGTACCGTGTTTAGAGCCACAGTTGCCTATCTGGCTGCAGGTAACAACATCTAATTTCTGTGTTACAGACACTGTAATTTTCAAGCCTTCTTGCTTCATTCAATGACCCTTGTTATCCTGGGAAGAGGGAAGATGTACCTATCCCAGAAACAATTAAACTTGTCTGTTTCTCAAGGGCATAATACAAGTTGACCCAGCATAGGAAAGTATTCGAAAACAAGTATGAAGAGTGGTTGATCTTTTCTATTTGTCTCAATTCACCTGTTAACCTTTATTGAGTGCTTTCTGTGTACTATGTATTGTCTATCCTAAGCACTTTCACATGTCACCACATCTAATCCTCTTACATTAAAACTTATGAGGGAGATAGAAGTATTCTCTTTTGCAAGGGAAATAGGAAACTGAGGTTCAGAAAGACAAAGTGACTATGAGCTCAAGGGCACATAACTAGAAGTGGCGGACCTAGTCTTTAGATTCCATATCTAGGGCTCATGTTGCCTTTACCCTCTCTGTTGTGTGTTTTTGAGCACAGAAGAGCAAAAGGTTTTCAGGACCAGAATGTTACTTTCTTTGGTTACTGTTGGGTCCTAATCACCTCCATTCTAATTATAGAATTAGCTGTTAATTATGGGAGATATGTATTGTTCTAGTCTAGGCTGTCCAAACTCCTCCTCCTCCTTCAGGGCTTGCTCTGATAAATATTTCATGGAGAGATTGGTTACCATCATTATGATTATTACAATAAACAGTAATCAAGGGCTCCGAGGTGTACAGTAGTATCTTAGTTCCTTGAATCACAGGCTATTTAGACTAGCAGGACTCTCAAAGGTATTTGGATATATTCCTTTCAGTTAATAGATGAAGAAACTGAGGCCTAGGGTCATCAACTATAATGAGAGCCAGAGAGATGGCTTAGCAGCCATAGAGGCCACCTGGGCATATGATTACCCTATAGCAAGCTCCAACAGGACTCCATTTCGGAAATGTGGCAAATTTATGACCAAATCGAAGGGAAGATTATTTCAGATACAGTCAGGTAGGTCTTCAAGAGGAGTCCTCTAAGAGAGGAAGATGACACTGATAGCAATGAGGTCTTCATTTATGTGCTAGAAGAACCTGATTGATCAGGACCTAATATTGAGACAGTTCTAGAAATATAGGCTACACATTTGAATAGGGTATGTAAATGTACTGGACCACGTAAGAGGACTTTTTGCTTTCCACTTCGAGGCTGAGTTCTGACTCTTTGAGCTCATTCCACACATTTTTGCACAGGAGCATGTTTAGTGAGCTGTTCTTTTGTTATACCTTGTTCTTGTTTCCAGATAGAAATTATATAACCTCAGTTACTGCTGTTTAGTTCTAGGAGTAAACCTCTATTTGTGAAATACAGCACAGCACATACACACACGCCACTCTAGTTAGGCTAATTCCCTTGTATCAGTACTGTTTGAGTGTATCTTTTGAAATATGAAATAACTCCTAGTTCTCTAATAGGTATTTGGCCAGATGCCACCTCATAGGCCATGCTATAATAACAAATAGTGGCCACTTACTGAACACCTGCTATGTGCAAGGTGCCATACATAAAAGATAAGGAAACTCTGACAGGTAGTAAAGTTGAATAACTTGACCAAGGTCACACTTTTAGTAAGCAGCTGGACTGGACTCAAAACCATTGCTGTCTGCCTCCTGAGCCTGAGCATTTTAGAGCCTACTCATAGGATATAAAAACCTATGGGGAGGAGTCCTTGTGAGTCTGGTGTGTCACTAAGCTGTTCCTAGTTCACTTGGTCTCTAAAATGAACAATGGTGTTACTTTTTGGTTTATATCTGACTTGTTGCTCCTGTTCATCTGGAAATTAAGCACATAAAGAAGGTGAGGTGGTTGACTGTTGGCTAGCAGTTCTATAAAGGTATTTATAGCCAGAAATGCTAGTTCCCCCTCCCTTCCCTTTCAGCCTCAGAAGGGGGAGAGAGTAAGGGTTAGAAGTACTGAATAGGTTAGGTATGACTTAAGTTGTATGAAAGAAACCAGCCTTAGAGAAGCCAACATCTTTGGATCCAAACAATCTTAGAGGGCTGAGCTTCTGAATAGATTGGCACATTCAAAATTCAATTTGTATTGCCTCACATGCCAGTATATTTTCTAATTAAATTAAGCCCTCATGCTAGTCAGGGCTTTGAAGGCTTTTCTTTCTTTTCTTTTCTTTCTTTTTTTTTTTTTTTTTTTTTTTGTAATGTTGTGGTTTTATGAGAGGATCAGCCTTGCATTTACAAGCAACAGAAAATTTAGTCCTTGATACTATTGTAAATTATCACCTTGAAAGATTAATTCTATGTAGAAACTGTTTAAAAGATATTTTTATAACTTAATGAAGGGCTTTCCAAAAGATGATTTATTTCTCTGTTCCTTTATCGTAGATGCCAGAAAAAGTTTAGGAGAACTACCATATTGGCAGCTAGGTTCATTTATTCCAGATAATTTATGGAATTAATATTTCACATATAATGGCAAAAAACTCATGACTTTTTTGGGGTTTAAGTGCAATATATTTTCATTTGTATTGGACTTTTACTAAACTTCAGTTTACAACTTTAGCCTGATGTTTGTTGTTTCTTTATCTTTCATCTAAAGTTAGTTTTTACTTAAACCTCAGGTCTATAAATTCCTTAGTTATAGCCTCCAGATTTACAACTTGTTTTCTTTCTTTCTTTCTTTCTTTCTTTCTTTCTTTCTTTCTTTCTCTCTCTCTCTTTCTCTCTTTCTTTCCTTCTCTTTCTTTCTTTCCTTATTCATTCATCTTTTATTTTAAAATTTTCCCTTAATTATAAAAATATTGTAGCAACAATGAGTTTTGTCAAAGAAATCACTAGAAATTCCACTGTATAGTTGCTTTTATTTTTTTTTAAGGTTTATTTATTTTGAGAGAGAGAGCATGCATGCATGTGCACGAGCAGGGGAGGGACAGAGAGAGAGGGGGAGAGAATCTGAAGCAGGCTTCATGCTGTCAGTGAGGAGCCCAATGTAGGGCCTGATCTCACTAACCATGAGGTCATGACCTGAGCCGAAATTCAGAGTCAGATGCTTAACCAACTGAGCCACTCAGGTGTCCCCAGTTGCTTTTATTTTTGTATTTTAACACTCAAGCCTTTAATGCATCCATATACTTAATGTAGGTACTGTCATTGTAGACATCTAGCTTGGCATTTATATTTTTCCAGTGATGCCATTATAAGTAATTTTCCATGTTGTTAACAGAGATTTTTAGTCATCTTTTTTTGTTGCAATATAATATTTTATCAGGTGGATGCATAGCAGTTTAACTCATCAGCGTCCTGTTGTTAGATATCCAGATTGTCTGTCTTTCTTCCATAATATTAGATAACACTGCAGTGAATATGCTTACATATATGACTTTTCTCTCCTTCTGGAAGATTTCATTAAGATAAATTCCTGGGAGTAGAAGTTCTGGGTGAAAGGATGTGAACATCTTCATGTTTCTTGTATGTGTTGCCAAATTACTTTCCCATTTAAAGTTTATGTCAATTTATACTGCTGCCAGCAATTTGCACCTGGATTGTTGATGCCCATTTCTTAGAAGGCTTTATGTCCTCAGTCTTGCTCTCCTTTGATCTGGCCTGAACAGCCCAAAATATTCTTCCAGAATGCTGTACTGTTCATACCTATCCCAGTCTTCCTTGGTCGCCTGTCACTTATCTGCCAGTTTAGGTATAAATTTTTAAATCCAGTCCTTCTAGCCACCTAACATCATCTATTTTAATTATTTCACAAACCATACGTGAAGCAGCCTCTCTTCAGTTTCTTCAAACAACCCTTCTTTTTTACCTCAAAGTCTTCCTTCTGACCATTTCTTATATTCAGAACCACTTCTCTGTCAGCATTTCTCCATCTCATTTAATTTCAAAACTTGATTCTTCTACAAAGCTGACAACACAGAACCATCTATAATGATGATATCTTTAATACTTTGTGTACTCAACTCTTGATGAGTTGCCAATAAATGCCCGTGTGGCCAATGAGAAAAAAAAAAAAAAAAAGGCAAAGATGTTCAGTGGAGATTTTTTAAAAGGAAAACACAGGATCCATAAGAGCACTACGTTCTCCTGAATAAAATTTGAGAAAAGAATGAGAAATTTTGTGCTCAGTTTTGGGTCCTATCACTGTTTCTGTGATTGTGGACAAGTCAACCTACTCCATCCTCTGTTTCAGCTACAGAGTGGAAAATACAGTGTTGCCAATCATTTCAGGAGAGTCATGACACTCACTTCACTTCCAGTTATTTTTTTTCTCAATATAATTGGCATCATAATCATTATAATCCTAATATTTACCGAGTGTTTACTATGTGCCAGGCATTGAAATGGTATATATATGTATTCGCTGTTTTAACCCTAATAGCAGCTTAGAGAACTAGCTACCCCCTCTATTCACATAAGAAATCCATTGACAGAGATTTTGTTACTTGCTCAGCTAGTTAGTAGTAGAGCCTTAATTTAAACCTTAATTCTTACAGAATTACTTTTCTGAGATATCAGTCTATCAGATCTCTTCCCTGTCTACAATTCCCTGATCATTTCTTACTGCATATGAACAAGAAAGTACAAACTGGGAAACATTCGTAGACCCTTCCAAGTTTCTATCCAATTTACTATTCCATTCTCCTCTTTCTCCACTTCCCCGTCCCCTCACATGTGTCCTATATTTCACTCTGGCAGAGCTGTTTATTTCACAAATAATATCATACCATTTCACACATCTGAGCCTTTGTTTCTGTCTCTAGAATGCTTTCCATTTACCTCCTGGCAAACTCCTATTCATCCCCCAAGGTCCAGTTCAGATGCTCTATACTCTATGCAAAGCATTCCAGATTTCCCTGGGTAGAGTTACTGGCTTGGTACTCTGTGTTCTTTTGTCTATTTTTCTGCTGTAGTCTTTCACACTGCTTTATAATGATTTGCTTACATGCCTATCTCTCTTCCGTTACTAGGAGTGTTGAAATACAATATGGAAAGGCAACATTTTTAGAAGACACCTTTTAAACATAGCCACAATTAAAACTCTATGTATTTAAAATAACATTGTTTCCCTTTTTTCCCCCCTCAGCATAGGGCTACTTTCAAATTTGAATCAACAGATGAAGATAAAAGAAAGGTAAGCCTTAATGTTACTCTGTGTGTATATATTGTTTGTATGTGTGTGTTTGTGTGGTATGTGTGTGTTTCATTCATGGACTTTCTAAACAGTGAACTTGTTTTTATCTGATGATTGTTTAGTTTTTGGTTTCCTTTCGGTTTGTTTTTAGGAACTCTGAGAAGAAGACAAGTATCAGGGTTAGTATGGATTACACACAACTTTCTCCTGTTCTGTCTCCACAGGACCATTATGCTTGCATAAATCAGGGGAATGGGAACAGTTCAAAGGGGACTCTCCCCATATCTTCTCACCTTCAGAGCTTGAATTTATTTGGTGATAGACCTGTAGGCTGCCCAAAATGTGTTGTTGATGTTGTGAAACTTGGCTTTGGCTTAAGTTTTGGGAAAGCAGCTGTTGATGCTGCTGCCCCTCAGCTACATGTTGCTCCTTGTACTGGCAGTTACGTATGTTGTCAGCAAGTGTCTTGGTCACTGACTTCACAGGCATAGAGAAAAATGGGAGTCAAGAGACTTACAGTAGACTTTCTTATAAGAAAGGGTACATCTGAGACATGGCCATGTAATGTCATGTGTGCCTGTTGGGGTTGCCTGTGGTTGCTTTACTTAGCTGATTAGGGCATGATACTAAAGGAGAAGGCTACCAGCTCCCCTGAGCATTTTGCTCAGACCCATACATCTATCCCTGGCCTTACAAATGTCAAGACCAAGTGAGAGGGCACAACTGAACCAGTGTAAACCTGTCACTGCTGCTGAAAAAATAGCTTAAATCCAGTATTTTGCCAGAAGTGGTTTGATAATGCCTTGAAACCATCCCTTTATTTTACCTCCACCTCTATCTAATGTCTACATTTTGCTCATTTTATCTCTTAAGATTCCTTTAGTCCATTCTCTCCTTAATCTCTGCCCTAATTCAAGCCTTCATCTGAGTTCTGTACCAGTTTCCTGACTGTTCTTTTTCTAGTTCTATGCCCTTTCAGTCCATTGTCCATTGTAACTCTTCTTTTTACCTGGTTAATTTCTACTGAGCTCTAGGAGCACCTCCTTCAGGAAGCTTCCTCTAGCATTCTTTCAGGGTTAGGTAGCTCTCTTCAGTATTCCCATAAAATTTTATGTATATTTCTAACACTATACTTATACATTGCCAATATACAGTTATATATTGAGGTTTCTCATTGTTAGACCCTGCAAACACTAATGATAGATATTATTATGTAACTTTGTATCCTTGTCATCTAGAGTGCCCAGCACATAATAGGTACTCAAAAAGTATTGAATGAGTGACATGGGTTATAAACTTTCGAGTTTAAACAGTTTCTTTTGGATTTGAACAATGCAAACAAGACTAGAGTACATTGTAGAAAGGATTCTCAACTAGTTATATGCTCTTTGGAGAGTGTTTTCAAGATAGGTCTCCTCAGGCCTGACCCCTTAATCTCCTAAATCAGAATATGGGAGGTGGAATCCAACCATGTGTATTTTAATAAATGATCTTCAGAAAATGGGTACTCACATTTGGTGGGAGTACAAAATGGCCATAATCCCTGTGGAACACAAACTGGCACTATCTACCAAAATAACAGATGCATTTTGCCCTTTGACCAAGCAATGTCACTTTTAGAAATCTATTTTGTGGATAGGATGAACCCAAGTAAACAAAGCTTCATCAAAGCACTCTAGCAAATGATTAGAAGCAAACAAGTCTCCAGCAATTTGGGAGTATTTGAAGAAACTAGAGTGCATCTACATAATGGAATACTATGAGGTAGGAAAGAGGGAGAAGGAGAGGGAGAAGGAGAGAGATAGACAGGTATGTGCTAATGGGAGAGAGACTTAAGTGGGGTGGGGGGAAAGGAGCAAAATGTCAACGTACTTTTTGACGCACTCATGATAGGTATTTAGGTGAGGGAGGCAGCTACTGTTTTTATTTGGAAGAATCCATACTCTATATCTATTGATTCATTGTGCCTCGGGGCTCTGACACTAGAATCTTTGATAGTACTTTTACTGGTCTAAATAAGTACATTAAGGGGCACCTGGGTCACTCAGTCATTAAGCATCCAACTCTTGATTTCAGCTCAGGTCATGATCTCAGGGTTTGTGAGATTGAGCCTCAAGTCAGGCTGTGTGCTGATAGTGTGGAACCTGCTTGGGATTCATTCTCTCTCTCTCTCTCTCTCTCTCTCTCTCTCTCTCTCTCNTCCCTATTTCTCAGCCCCTCCCATTCCTGTGCATGTGTGTCAGGGTTGGGGACACTCTCTCAAAATAAATAAATAAACTTTTAGACAGGGTTTCCCCTCACTCCATATAAGTTTGAGTTGAGGGAGAATAATTTCCCACACAGTTGTTAATAAAGCATGTGTATTTTCTGTAACATACTAGCAAAACCTACCATTTCAAAGTTTTATCTTTTACTGCATGCTAGGTCTTTGGAGGCAGTAACTCCTGTACTCCTGTTATTTGCAGTGGTAGTGTATACATTTCTGCTTCCTTGGAGGTCTGATATAAACAAATGCAATTAGGGACCTAGCTAGCTATCTTATTAATGGCAAAGCATAGGCAAACAAAATAACTTTAGTCTCCAAGGGTTAAATCATTAGTGACTCTTTCATGTTTAAGGTCCTAAAAACTTGAAATGCTCTAAAGGATTCACATCCTAACAGCTTTTTAGGTTTTCAGGGTAGAGACATAGACTAGTAGGCATGTCTCCACATTAAACCTAGTCTGAAAATAAGAGGAACTCAAGTTACTGTCCAATTTGTTTTGCTGCCCTAGTCTCTTTTCCTCTTTCCTCAACATGTCTCTGGAGCCTTATGCTAGCAGCTCCATGGTAATAGCAGCACCCCTTTCAGTAAACTACAGGTGCTGTCTTTCTGAAAAATGCAGTGCCTTTCTTCTGAAAACTTTTATGACAACTTAGAAGTATATGTAAGGGAACAGACAGAGCCTCTAAAAAAAAAAAAAAACTTGATTATACTGAACTCTTTTGGAAATGGTTATATATTAATGATTCTTAGCCCTAATTGCTAACACTTATGTAGTGTTTTGCATTTTTACAAAGATTTGCTTTGCACTAGTGCTATAAGTATGGTGTGAATATCACCATTCCTATTTTATGGATAAGAAACTGAGGTTCACATTAATGACAACTTGCTAACCCTCACGTGACTAGTAAGTGGTGGGTCCTCAAATAGAGAATAGATTTTCTGACTGTATATTTAAGAAGGTTTGAAATTATGACTCAGTAGCTTGTTTTCTCTCTTCATTGCATGAGATAACTAGACTTAAATTGGAAAATAGCAAAGAAAATTAGCAAAAAGGAGTGCTTAAGTTTTTCCAGAGAAGTAAAGTCAGACACAGCTGTTAGATTTTACATATAATGCAAATAGTTCCAGGTGCATGTGGATCATTGTATATTTGGATATAGGCACCTGTGCTTATTGAAGTATTTGCATTACATTCTCTGCCTCTAGGCTGTGGTTGTTTATCTGCACATAAACAAATATATCAATCATGTAAATAGGTAGGATGGGGGGAAGTATGATGAATAATCTGAAATTTACATCAGAGGAAATGAAAACTCTTTTTTTAAATTTTTTTTAAATGTTTTATTTATTTCTGAGAGAGAGAGAGCGTGAGGAGGGGAGGGTCAGAGAAAGAGGGAGACACAGAATCCAAAACAGGCTCCAGGCTCTGAGCTGGCTGTCAGCACAGAGCCCGACGTGGGGCTCGAACCCACTAGCCGTAAGATCATGACCTGAGCCGAAGTCGGATACCCAACTGACTGAGCCACCCAGGCGCCCCCCTTTTTTAAAAAAAATTTTTTTAATGTGAAAACTCTTATATTGGCTTCTAAAACAGCTGATCTCAAGACCAATAGTGCTAATTGCAATAAATGTTGAAAAATACATGTCATAAAATGAGTAAAAGACTTGCAGCTCTTTTACCTATAAGATAAGAATACAGCTATATCAAATGTGGAAAACCTCAGTTGTTGTCTGAGATAATTCTTTGTGTATATAGTGATTTTCCTTAAAGGAGTGAAGTTAAAAATAGCCAAATTTCAAGCATTTATCTCATTATCTTTAAATTCACATGGATAAGCCCATTTTCTGTAATGGCAGAGAATAATTGCTGAGTTGAGAACTCTTTGAGAATAAGAACTCTGGCTTAGTTTTGTTTATATTTTCAGCCCCCAACACTGCATGTGGCATAAAATAGACACCTATAGTAAGCACCTGTTAAATAAATGGAGGGAACTTGGAGATTGAGTGGAGGCTAGAATTCCCATTATGTATACAATATTGTTTGACTTTGAATTTGAAGTTCTCTTATACAGCAGAATCTTAATGTAATATTTACATGGAAAAAATGGATATAAAAGTATTCATACAGGATGATCACAGTCATGTAAAAGTAATAAAAACTGTTCAAAGAAAAATGACTGTAAAGAAGTTTGCTAGGGGCGCCTGGGTGGCTCAGTTGGTTAAGCGTCCAACCTCGGCTCAGGTCACGATCTCATGGTTCCTGGGTTCGAAACCCATGTCAGGCTCTATGCTAACAGCTCAGAACCTGGAGCCTGCTTCAGATTCTGTGTCTCCTCTCTCTGCCCCTCCCCTGCTCATGCTCTGTCTCTCAAAAATAAATAAGCACTAAAAAAAAAAAAAAAAAAATTGCTAAATGGTAGTTATCTGAATATTATTATTATAGATGACATTTTTCTTTCCCTGTTCTGTATTTTAAACTTTTCTATTATAAGTTATAATGGTTTAAGAAGATGATAATTACAGGAGTGCCTGGGTGGCTCAGTTGGTTAAGTGTCTGACTTTGGCTCAGGTCATGATATTGCAGTCTGTGGGTTTAAGCCCTGCATCAGGCTCTGTGCTGACAGCTCAGAGCCTGGAGCCTGTTTCAGATTCTGTGTCTCCCTCTCTCTCTGCCCCTTCCCCGCTCACACTGTGTCTCTCTCTCTCAAAAATAAACATTTTAAAAAAACGTGAT